TCCCCATCTTATTCCTATTGTTCGCTTAAACACATTAAATGACTGGACCTATATTCCTAGGAGGTTGTAACTTCACTTAATAGTCAATACTTAATAACTACATATAGCAGGCCAATTAATTCAACCTCCTAGAGACATCAGACATCTATTATAGTTAACAGCATCCATTAGGAAATTTCAGCAGGAAATAAAATTAATACCAAACTAGAACTGATTTAAGCCATATAGACATTTATTATCTTGAATGTCAAGAAGTTCTGAACTCAGAGTTCTTAGTTTGGCTGATTCAGCAGCTCAATGATAAATATCTCAACACTCAAAATCTTTCAGCTTCCTGGTTTTCCATGCTGTAAATACAGCCATGGATACTTTGGCTATCATCTGCCATCACTTAAGTTGAACAGGATATTTCTGGCATCACAAACAGCCAACCAAGTCCAAAGTGGTAAAAGAGAAAGACTCCTCTTTTGTATCTAATTTTATTATGAAGAAAATGTTTCCCAAAATGTCTGCAATGGAATTCCCTTCATGTCTCATTTTCACTCACTCTGACTAAAAACGAGGACCAATTTCCTCTGAAACACACAGCTACTGTATTACTGACGGCTTTGCAGAAAAATGGGACCAATAGGAAATATGGATATATGTGCAGAAAATGACTTACTTTAAGGAATTTGCACATATGATTAGGAAACCTAGCAAGTCCCAAGTCTGTAAGGTGGGTGGACAGCCTGGAGGCCAAAAAAGAGCTGATATTATATTTTGTGTCCTAAAGTCATTTCCTGACAGAATCCCCTCTTGCTTTCTGTTTCCTCCAGGCCTCAGACTGATCGGATGAGGCCTACCACCATCATAGGGTATTTTACCCAAATCCCAGAGATTGAAATGTTAATCTAATCCAAACATTCCCACAAGAAACACCCAGAATACTGTTTTACCACATCTGGGCATCATGATTCAGTCAAGTGGACACATAAAGTTAACCATCAAGCTGCACAAGACTTTAACAAGCAAGGAAGATCATAGAAGGTAAAGTGACTGTTACGCTTTGGATTTGAAATGTCCCCCCAAAGTCTCATGTGTTGGGAAGGTGATGAGATCACAAGGGGTGCTATACCCAACAGTGGACATCATGGATTATGCAGTTAGGAAATGTGCATTTAGGAAGTGGGGCCTGGTCAGAAGAGGAAGAACAGGTAGCTGTGGGGGGTGTGACCTGTAAGGGTGTATCTCCCTCCCCAGCTCCTTACTCCTTTCTGTTTCCTGGCTCCTGTGATATGAGCACCTTTCCTCCATTACAGAGCCTTCCACCACGTGTTTTTGCCTTGTGGGTTGTAACAATGAGCCAAAGTAAACCTCTCCTCCTTTTAGCATGGGTGTCAGTGACAAGGAAAGTGACTAAGAGGGTGAGGATAGACGAATGGCTACAGGAGGCTAAAGGTGATTTATCCTGGAAGACATATCAATTACATATACTGCTTAAATCTGAAGATAATAATAAAGTGAAAGGAAATGTAACCTTTGTAAGCAAAATTTAGACAGATCAAAATTAGCCCTGAGGGGATAAGATGTCATTCAGTGTAGAGCACTAGCCTACCACAAATGAGGCCTTGGGCTCAATCCCCAGAGTGTGCGCGAGCGCGCGCGCACAAGTGCACACACACACACACACACACACACAAATGCATCAAATAAGCCTTCTGATGAGAAGATGAACTGGGCAATATGCCAACATTGGGAAGCCAAAATGTTTTCAAAAACAACTCTTTAGATATCCTTTTATTATATGACGTTGATTCATTGTCTATTTCAGAAAAATCACTCTTACACAACAAAAATTAACTAACAGTGTATTTCATCATTGGCAAGTACTATCAGACTCAACTTCATATCCAATCACACCGACTTTAGCAGCTGTATCACAGTGATACAACACTTGCCTACTGAGTGCAAGGCCCTCAATTCAATCTCCAAGCATAGAAAAAAATTACAGGCCCTGAGCATATTTGTGGGAAGGGTTCACACAAGAGCATAAACACCTTAGTTTATGGGGCCACAAGAAAGTCTGACTTCCTTAAATTGCTAATACTTTTTCTTTTCTCCAATAGTTCTAACCACATAAGAATTACATTGTCCTTTCCCACTGGCACCAGGGAGCCAAAAGTCGAACTCATCTTCAGTAACAGCATAAGACCCTCTGTATATCTGTGATAGTACTGGTTCCCTGATAAATTGGCCATATATATATATAT